TCTTGGGCTCGCTGGGACGTCCTCCAGGCACGTGAGACGTTCAGCTCATTTCTGTCGTCAACGTGCGCCTGCACAGACACGCAGCTGCGATTGTTCTTCGACGACCGCTTCGTGTCGTCGGCTTGTAACGGAATCTGACGCGCCTCGCGGACCGATAGGTGCAGCCTCTTCTGGCCTTAGAGGTTCAAGTTGCTACCGTCGGTCTTGCCCACATCGGACGTCACCTTGTCGGGCTCACGGCTGGAGTCTTCCTCCACAGTGACATTCTTTGCGTCTACTCTTTTCTTGTGAAACCGAAGTTCTTCATCTGGTGTCTTCGTCCGGGGACATTCGCGGGAAATGTGCCCCAATTCCTTGCATTTAAAACACTTCACCCGATAATATTCAGGTATACATGCCCTGCCTTGGGTTCTCGTGTTTTTCCTTGAGAGAAGTGGTGGTTTCAATAAAGGGCCTCGAGACCTCAGCTCGCGACACTCCGAGCTCTAACAAGACCGATTCTTTGACCGCACCATACCCACTTCTCTCACCCATGTTCAGCGTATTCACTAGTGCACGCATGCTCTCCGTGAAATAAGGTCGCACAGGATATCCTCTGAGCCGCTCAGGGAGTTCATATGTCTCGAAGACGTTTTCTACGCCATCAAACCAGCTCGGCACTAATAAGTCGGACGACGGCATGGGAGTCAGCACTCCCTTCATTAATCTCGAAAAGCGAAAAACTTCATCTCGGAGGTTGAACTCCATGCCGCCTCCACTGGCTCACCTTCGGTTTTCTGAGCGTAGATGTTCTAGTTCTAGCTCGAGGCGTAACAGCCGTTCTTTCTCCCTTACTAGTTCAATCTCCTTTTCGATTGAGCTGTATGATCGGACTCCTCCGTTCCCATCCCCTTGTGTCTGCGAGTTTTCCACTAATCCACTCAAAGGTGACAATTCACCTGGTTCGTCAACATTCATATTCCGAACCCTATCCTGCTCTGGTGTTAGAACCGGCGTCTGCCGCTCTGCGCTGTCTGTATCCATGGCGGGCACACGTCAAAGAATCACCTTACCGTAAGGTCAAAGAATGCCGCTGGATCACAGACGCAGCCCGCTCCTCAGAATAGTCAGGCACGAAAATGATGTCCGAGCTGTAGACTCAAGCGTTCCTCGCTGGAGTGGGACGGCGTCCGGTCAGAGGTAGCTCTGCCACCACGAAGTAGCTCGGTGGTTTAATCTTCAAAGAGCTCGGTGGTCCAGTCTTCTCTTCAGAAGCCTCCACCAGTGCCGCGAAGTCGCTGTACGCCGATTCCGTTGTGAAGATCACGCCGCCGGGGTCCGCTGACGCAATCCTGTCGGCTGCGCCAGTGAAGATGTTCTTTCTTAGAGACTACGCCGGGACCTGACGACGGAGGCAGCTGATGGTCGCTGACGGAAGAGAAAACCAGACAGGACTCCGCGGATAGGAGGAAGAGAAAAGAAACACGTCTATTTACAAGCCAAGCTAATTTCCGAATGTCCAAAAAGGTCCCACCACGTGCTCTCCTCGTCTTCTTCTCTTCTCAAAAATGTCTCCTGCCCCAGCTCGCACGAGCGTCGCAAGTTCACCCACACACCGGGGCACACGTGCCAACGAAAACACGCAAAGAAAAGAGCCTGTTTCCGCGTCCCTTCACGGTGATGGCGGGCCGATTCTCACAGTCACATTATGATCAATTATCACCAGCTCTCTTGCACACTCACTGTTTTTTATTAAGGGGAGGACACTCCTCTATGAGAGAATTGCTTGCAGAAGCTACGAGGCTGACGTCATGCTTTCTCCTAGTACATTTAACCCTCTTGGATGGAACAATCCATTGCAAGGGGCGCCAAATTCAGAAGAGGACGTCTGAATTTGGCTCCATTCCTGAAAACAAATACTCTGTGGCCACTTGACTTTATCAAATATTCGCTCATTTTTTTTGAAAATAGGTCATGCAACGCTGATTGCCCCTGGGCAAAGCATTCCAATTAAAAAATCACTGCATAAAGGAATAAAAGGGCATCATGAAAGACTTCGTAAAATACTTGTACTTTACTTTGAAAGTACATTGTATTTATGGCACTTTACTTCAAGTACGTTGCACCCAGCGTACCTAATACATACGTAAAGTACATCACGTATCATTTACTTCGTATTTTACTTCAAGCACTTTTTAGAAGTACTTTACCCAACACTGCTTCGGAGAGGGGCTCTGATTCTGTTGCGAGTTTTTGGCGACAGTCGCCTTCCGGTCTTGAGGGTGGCCAAATATTTTTTCAATCCGGGGGAAACATGCATCCCATGAAGGCATTTCTGCTTCATAGTTAAGAGACCACATCTTCGCAACATCGCTGAGAAAAAAAAAATACATTTGCGAGCACGGTTGGGTAATCCCAGTAGTTGCCTAAACTCACCCGAGCAGAGACGTCTGCCCATTTTTCTACTTATTCATCACCGATCCCAGAGAAACCTCGGGGGTCCCGAAGAGGGGAGGGAAAACACGTGAGCGTCATTGGAGGGTGAGTCGCTCGTACGGGTGAAGACAGAATGACCGGAGGTGGGGTTGGATGGTGTCGAGGTTGTCAATTGAGGTAGGTGCATGGGTGAAGCTCATATCACCAGTGAAGACGTCGTCTGGGTCGGTAATAATGAGGTTGTCATGGCAAGACTAGGCAGAGTGCGGCTTTGCAGTTCCAGATCGGCGTTGCCTTTAGGCGGGACTTTGTGAGGTCTAACTCGAAGGCGGTGAAGAAGGCAGGGATGTCGATTCTGAACCTCCACCAGACAGTGAGGTTTTTTCGGGAGAAAGAATAATACACGGTGCCGACGGTTTGCCGAGGCCAGGCTGAATCTAACCCAGTCTCGTGAGACAATCCACGCTCTGGCACGCACTGCCTTTCGAGCGCACCAGCGCCCAAGCTGGCAGCGCCGAGCTCGCCACTTTTACGCCACAATATGTGTATGTACCAGCTCATATTTGCAAGACAAACCGGTGTGCTTCCAGCGATGCCTGCACTGCAGCGCAGGTGCGATGGGGTGTTGACAAAAAGCGCGGCGTCACCCATCAGCATACAATGCGCAGAAAAACTGAGGGAGAAGAGGACACGTAAGCGCGCGGGAACGTTAGAACGCCGAGCCCTAGATCAAATAATTAGTGGGTAGACCTAAAGTCAGCTGTATTTGTCTCCACTTCACTCGTCGAAGGCGTTAGAACGCGGAACACCGGCGTCCAGCGTTCGGCTTTCGCCTTCAAAAGGGTTCGACGAGTGCAGACAAAGGCCTAATGTCTACCCGCTAATCATTACAACCACAGCTCAGCGTTCTGAAGTCACCCCACGCTCTCATCTCGTCGTCTCTCTTAGTTTGTTTGCGTATAAAGATGCAATGTTGTTGGCGTCGGTGTGAGTCTGCGTGCATTTGTTCACGTTGAGGTTGTTAATTATGCAACTTCCTAGCCAGGTCTGGCTACGTTAGTGGCCAGATTCAAAAGAACGAGGATCGGTACATCGCTAAAACTTTGCGTGAATTGCGCCTCCATTTGCGTGGAAGCCGCAGAAGGCGTGCCAACGCTTGATTCACGCGTTGCGATTCTGCCCGCAATTATTAGTTGCGACGTAGCTCAGACTTCAAAAGATCCGGTAACATCAGCTGCTCCGCTAGACTTCGCAACTGAAAATTGGATGTCGAATCGCACATGTAAGCAGGCGTAGGAAGTTGGCGATTGCCACAGGTAGCAATGGCCAAGTTCACCTTGAATATTCAGCTTAATGCCCGTTCACGCACTTGCAACCGAGTACGACCGAGTGAGACAAGACCGGTTTTTAAGCCTCTCACGGCGGCGTAAGACCAGATGTGCTGCTGCTGAGCAGGTCCTAAGCCGTTTCAAGAGGCTTCAAAATCAGTCTCGTCTCAGCCAGTCCTATACGGTTGCAACTGTGTAAACTAGCCTTCAAAAAGAGTCGATTCAACCTAAACATTTATGAAGTCTAGATACATATACAGGCCCACTTTTACTTCGATATGGAGATTGTTGACATTGGCTACACGCCGCTCATCTTTAAATGCGAAATCTCTCGGAATGCAATAAGAATGTTCGAGACCTCTTGTACTCCTGCGTTCATGTTAGAGCAATACATATAAGTCGTACTACAACACATCTACGTAAATGCAGCCGTAGCACTCGGTGCCTCTCGCAGGGGCAACTGGGGCCCAATGGCGCCTTGTTTCCTATTTTACGTCGTCGGCGCACATTTTCGGACAAACCAATCAGACAAGAAATACGCTGACACCGATCCTGGCAAAGTTTAAAGCTTTTTTGCTTCAGCCCCAGTCTGTAGAAATCGCAGCATTTCGAATAAAATGTAGGTTTGTGGTATTTCATACCCCCTTCCCCCGCAAAAAAAGAAACAAAAAAAAAAGAACAGAAAAAGACTTGACTGAAATTCCGTTTTTCACTCATACTCTAAACTGAAAGTGTTCAGGAGGCACCACAAATGCAGCCTGATACACGAGAGCTTAATTTGGCGTTTTCTCTGACCAAGCGTCTCAACGTGCGCGCAGAGTTAAAGATGCTCTTTAACGAAACCCCTCGATCTCAACATTTTGTCCGACCGTTCGTCCGTCAGTGAATTTTACGTTAAAGTTAGACCGAAAAATTGACATCATGTGATCTGACGTCACGAGACCAACACCAAGTCACTTCATCACTTAACGTCAAGTCTTCAGCGAAAGAATTCACGCTACGTGGCCTGACGTCACGTGACAGGTACGGCAAGTTACTTTCCACGCCAAATTTAGTGGGGAAATTGGGATCACGTGACCTGTGTCCCATTGTAGTTTCCCTGCTAAATTTAGCGGGAAAATTGATAAAAAATTGTTCTTCTTTACCTTCAGAAACGACCGTTAGGTCGTTTTGGAGCTTGGGTAAGTGTCGCTGGCAACATCTTTTTTTTCCTTTGGCAGGAGAATATACGAGCGTAGGGCGGGAGTCTCCACTCACGGTAAAGGTCGAGGGTAACCGACGCCGCGACGGCGTAGGTCCCGTTGTGATCGGACGCTTTGCACGTGAGGCTGGCGTTGAGGTCCCGCCTGTGCAGCTGCGCCACTTGCAGCGTCGATCGGGTCACGCCTTGGGACGAGCTGTCCGCCCTGCTGGGGAGCTGCGTACTCGCATTGCGCCACCAAGTGACCTTGGGCTCGGGCACGCCTGCGTTGTCGGAGAAGGGAAAGAACGCTAGCAACAGGCATACTTACGAAGAGTCGGAGTAAATTCGGTCAACTGTAATTATTCTTCAAACGAAGCCTCGAAAAAAATGTATTTACTATTTTGGAATGATATCCAAGTGGAAACGCGGAAAACAAGTCAATCGCGGTTTTTTCCGCAGTAAACTATTCAACATATAGCGCGTTTTTTCGTTGTTGTTGTTTTGATTTCTATTTTTTCGTAATGATCCATCACTTTACTACACTTCTATGTGTGGGCCTTCTTAAACATTTTCAATTGCCTGCTATCATATGAAAACTTGTGCATTTCGCTTCACGACCTGTTAGAGCTAACCGATTGAGACTTGTATAGAACCTTTAGCTATAGCAATTCACGTACCGACTCAACTTAAATTAATTTTTTTTGCTGCTTAATCAGAATTAATTACGTACAACAAAAACAACTTTAAAGGAACAGTGCAACGATTTTAATGTTGAAAGAATTGGCATGTTTTAATTTTTTATATTGTTTATGCAAGCCCAAGTGACCAAGAACGCGTCACCTTTCCCCAAAAAACTGCTATTCTGCTGCGTAATCGCAAAGCAAAAACGAATTTTTTGCCAACCTGCAGCCGCCTGTGGCGGTTACAGGAACTAAAATGGCCACGCCTATGGGGGTTACGCAGAAGTGAACAAAACCTGTCCCCCTCCGCTGCTTCACTCGCCGTCAGCCCCGCGGCGAACCATCCTTTGTGTCCATCGCTCGCCGCGACCTTCGAGGATGCTAATCCTTTAAAAGTCGACAATCGCGGAGGAAGCGGCTGGGGTCTCTGAAGAGAGGGCCCAAGGGGAAAGCACGTAAACCCCCAGTGTACGTCATTCGAAAGTTAACGTGGAGAGTTGAGAGGCACTTTGACCTTCGAGTTGTTTCATTTTTTTTTATTAAATAAGAAGTAGCGGTCACAACAAAATACGGCTTTCTGTTTTTCGTTTCATAGGTGACGCTGATCAATTTCCGCAGCAAATTGGCCAAAGCCTGAAAATCGTTGCACCGCCCTTTAACATTTGCCGTTGTTTAGTTTTCAAAAGCACCAAGGGTTATGCTTTTTTATATCAAAGAAGGTTGGGGTGGATGGCGGTGGGGGGGGGGGGGGGGGGGGTGGAAGCTACTGGGTTGCAAGATCGGTCGACACCATGCGAGAGAGTCAAGACATGGGGGAGAGTCACTGCAGCGGGACACAGAAAAAGTAGCTGTGGTTCACAGGCGTACACAGCTATTTCACGGGTACTTCGTGTTCTGCTCTTTGGCGCTTTTATTTGCTAATGCCGCAACCTTTTTGGCTGCAAAACGAAAGCAACATGCTCCCCATTCTACGTTTTTTTTATAAAGTTATTCCAACAGTTTTGCCGACTTTTTAAGTTTATACTTATTTACCGTTGTCACTGAAAGCTTAAGAACTGCAGGACGTGTATTCATTCACCTATGCATCACGTAATTGCTGCACACCCTGTTGAAAAATGACTAGTGGAGGGCGATCCTGTCTCGCACCTGTGACATTTCTCGGTGAACGAGATCGTGTCTGGGACTGAGGACGAAGAAGAGGTGTTGGAGGCGCGAGGAGAGACAATTTTTGGGTTTGGAACGACGAGAAAGCAGGGCAATTGTCAGGATGAAGTTTACCGCGGTCATGTAAATATTAAACCAAGTCCTTTTTATAAGTTAATTGGTGGCGACTCATTACGCAAAACACCCAATCAGAAAGCGGTATTAACAAATAGCAAAGCTAAAGAACCAATCAGAAAGCAGGAAGCGTAAGACATAATAATCCATACCCTAAGCCGCCAGTGACTATCGGCGACGAGATGTTTTGGTGACTCCCTCTTGCGATTTCTGTTTGTAGCGTCACGACCAGGGTTATCAATTGTCAGGAAAGCTATTCCGACGGTGTGTGGAAAAAGCAGAGTAGATGATTCGTTTCAGTGCGTCCTTCAACCAACCCCGCCAAGCTTGTAGACAGTCTGATCTACTTCTCATCTCCGTTGATAAAAGTGGAATTTATCATACTCATGACGTCACGGTGAGCGTTTGGCCAATCGTTGAAGGCCGACCACAGCGACACTTTTGGTCGCGCACGTAGCCATTAGAAGTGCGCGAGCACGTGAATAAAATACCGGACCGTGCCACACTAATCGGTATAGAGATGTGTCTACTGTGATAGTAATTTCGAGCTTTCTAGACCTACATGTGGGAAGCAAATTTTTATTTTTTTATGTGCCGAAAAAGTTTTGCATATTTGCGAGCTATTCAAAGAGCGCAAGGAGGCGTGCGAGGAATGTATACGTGTGGGATAATGACGCAAATCAGCTTAAGTTCTCGCGGAGAATCTGGATGCCGACGCGAGACGCGACATACGACGCGATTCCCAAAGTACGCGGGCCAGCAGTCGCAAACCTTGGACACAGCCGCTCATTTGCGTGCCGAAGAAATTAGAATATTACATACAAAAAAGCTTGCCAAAGAACCCATGGTTAATTTGCTGCAACTTCGAGTTGAAGCAGCCAAACTGCCGTTCGAACGTGGCACGTACGGCTCGATTGCCCTCAAATAATAAACATAGGGTGCCTCAATGGTCTTCTGTTTAGGGTAATGCCATGCTTTATAGAACCCGATGCCGACAGCACACGGTCACAGTAAAAATGCAAATAAATCATCGAAAACAAAATATCGCCGTAGCACAGGCCGCGCCAAGAATGCGTGTAGGAAGACGCTATTTCACGCGCTTCGAAACAAAAAATTAAAATAAGCATTCAGAACTAAATGGCCAGTAGTCATCAGCCTAAGCAAAGTGCCAATGGAGGCGCCCTAAGTAGACCTATTGCTAAATTATCAAGGTAATCTCCGGAAATATTGGTCAGCGCACCGCACGCGCTCGACTTCTTCGTACACAAGATTCGAAGAAGATGACTAAAATAAGAAGTTGGTGAACGCGCGTGCATGATACCTTATATTTTAGGTTCTTGCTTTAGAACAGTTACTGCTGCAGACGCCAGCACGTGCGGCGCGTTGACCTAGATCCTGCATTCTCCTTGATGCTTGGGTAATAGACCTATTGCAATATTACCCAAGCATCAAGGCGAATGGGGGGTTGGTGTTCCTGGCCTCAGCAATAGCACATTTTGAAAAGCAAAAACCTAAAACAATTTGTATCTTGCACGCGCGTTTGTCAACGCTTTATTTTGGTTAAGTATTTACTTGGAATCTTTTATACGGGCAAGGCGTGCATGTGTGGCGCGTGGAACACCAATCCCGGCATTCCCTTGATGCTTGGGTAATATAGCAGATGGCCTATTAAGCGAAAGGTCTATTGAGAAAACAGCGATTGAGACAAAGATCCGGCTCTGTTGGAGAGTTGTGGTGGATATATTTCAGGCAATTCAAATAAAAAAAGCGGAGAATCGGCATCTCCGTTGGACGTTCCTCATTTTACCGTGAAATTAATACTATTGAGAAGGACGGGATGAATAGACAGGATAAATGCGTATATTTTTGTTGGGAAAAAGGCACGTAGACACAAAAAATTAAATAGAATAGTTTGTTTAACCCAGACGACGAAGGTATAAAGCGAACGCTTTTGCTGAATGCTTGATTTTGAACAGCTGCGAAACTTTTTGTTCATTAATTATGCTTCTTAATTTCCAGTCAATATCACTTAAGCAGCGACGGTCACTTATAGTCTATTGCATATATTGGAGTTAATAGTTCTGATCTTAGAGCCTCCCCCCATACTCGGTTTCCAGTCCTACTTACTGTACTTTCATAAGTAGCGGATTTTATTTTAAAAAGGGCACGCAACATTCTGAAATAATAATAATTATAATAATAGCAATATTAATGTTAATATAATCATAATAATATTAATAGTAAATAACTTATCACCTGTCTTGTAGAAAAAAAAACGCTAGACCTCATGATATTTTTTTTTCATCTATTCTGTTGGCACAAATGGTGTTTTTAGATCTTGCAAGTCATTAATCTGCACCTCATTTCTACACGACGTGTTGAACGATGGCCAGTAAGGACACGGGGTTGAAGACGTGCACATACTCGACAAACACTTTGTATGTACGAGCACTTTTGCTCGAAAAGCTACGTCATTCATACCACTCTACTGTGCTTGAAACCATCCATGGCCGTCATAAGGTTGCAAACATAACGCGTGCAGTTCAAGAGTTGTTATTAAATACAACGTTGCAAAAATCACTTGTCAACCAAAAGAATCTGCAGCTGTTTTGCCTGATTTTTAGTCAATTATAGTCATTGAAATCTTGAAGAAAACAAAAACCGCAGGGCGTGGCTTATCCTAATAAGCCTTCTACTTTTTATTTTTTATTCGGTGCTTTTATCGCTGAATAGCACAATCTCACCGACGGCGAAGCGGTAACAAGATGCTTGTCACCCACCACGGCAGCTTCAAAGTATACACCCAAACCCAAGTAACACAGTTCTTTGGGTCAAATATTTTTAGATGCGGAGCATCTCTTGCTCAGGTCTATGTCCCGCGGCGTCGTAGTCCGCACTCACACCACGCATGCGCAACTCTCCTCCTTCCCTCTCTCCAACATCTGCGCGTTACTCTTTCCACTCTCTCTCTCTACCAGCTGCGTGCACTTCGCGTGTGTTCGCTTCTACTCACACCGCGCGCGCATGCGCAACTCTCCTCCTCTAGTCTCCTCTCCTTCAAGTGTGAATATAAGCAGCGGTAGCGCGTTGCGCGCGTTCAGTTCACCCGCTGTTGACTCCACTTCACTCCGTTCTTCCAATGAAGTCTGATGGAAGCAACAGTCCCGTCAGTTAGTGGGTTAGCGCAAGCAAGCGTCAGCACCACCCCACAAACTAACAGCAACGCTCCGTCCACTGAAGACAAAGCCGCGCAGCGAAGGGCACGCGACGCTGAGCGCAAACGCTTGAAGCGAGCGGCAGACGCTGAACTACGGCAACGAGAAGCGGGGTCCATTCGTCAACGTCGAGCGGCGGATGTTGAACTACGAAAGCAGCGGCGGTTTGAGAACGTCGAGCAGCAGAACCTGAGGTTCGGGACCGTGAAGTTCAACGTAAACGTACGAAGCGAGCGGCGGAACCCGACCTTCGAGAACGGGAAGCCGCGTTGGAAAGACCTGCGTTAACCGTTTCACCTTCGTCTACGCAATTAAAAAAATTACACCATCTTCCCGAGGGGAACCATGGGGTGATGCGGAGCATCACGGAGTTTCCAACAACGTTCACGCGATGTGTGGTAACCAACGCAAGTTAACAACGTAATAACACGCAAGTTAACAACGTTAGTAACAACGTTACTAACACCGTTACTAATATCGTTAATAACACCGTTAATAACGATCCGCGATGCTCCGCATCACCCCATGGATCCCCTCGGAAAGATGGTGTAAATTTTTTCTGTTTTTTTTTTTTGTTTTGTTTTTTGTCTGGCAATTTATGGTTTTGAAAGACTTTACAAAAGCCAACGTATAGTCATACTTTATGTTGTTTGGCAGAGTTCGGGTATTTGGCACTAATCTGTAAAACACGTGTTGGAGTTAGGATTCACAGCTTGGCAGTTCGGTTGGCACCCGTGGCTTCTTTGGGACACGGTTCCCGTCCAAATGCCAGAACTACACTTCCACTTCTGGTTGCTGGGTTTTCACTTAGCAACTTTGGGCCTAAATTGTGATGACAAGCATCAAAATTAGGCTTGATAGACGGCATTTATCCGACGAACCAGAGAAAACTTCAAGAAGTATACTTGGTCACAAACGCACTGAGACAAACCCTTATAAAGTCCAGCCCCTAGGATTGCGATACTGTGTCCACGTTAGGCGTATTTGTGACGTGCAAATGCATTATGTGGTGACAGACCAATAAACTTCGTAAAAGCAAGAGGTTCATTGAAAAAAAAAAAAAAAGAAATGACGGAGATCAACGCATAAAGCGCGAGGCATCGCGGATCGGAAAACGTCTCACCGCCATATATTGAATGGGTCTGGAACTTCCCGATATGCATCAAGCCCAATCCTTACATTAACTTCAATTTGCCTAAATGTCTGAATTCGTTACAGTAGTTGCGCTCCACATATCAGACGACAGAATGAGAAGAAAAGGCGTCGTACTATACTAAAGAGGTTTTAATTTTTTTCGACCGCTGCAAATCACTGGAGCGTCAGTTTCAAAGACTGAACAAGACGCTCCTTCGGTAGTGTGGACCATTTACAAAAGTGCGCCCCATCTGGTGGCTAGTGCGCCAATGACCAGAGTCCATCATTTCTTGGGAACGCACACTACGCATGTAGAAGACACGAGGGTTAGGTCAGCATTCGGCGTGAAATAGGGTGAGCTCGCACCGAAAACGAGCGCTGCGTAAGCGTTCGGCAATGTCTCGGATCCAATCATTCGCTTTGTGCCCCCGAAAATGGCGACTGCCAATGTTACTGAATGAGATTTGGAAAGAGTATTATCTAGTGCTTACATGTTTCACCGCCCCCCCCCCCCCCCCCCCCCTCCGGCACCACTTAAAACGTTTTGAGAACACTAATTGGACGAACCGTCTTCTGCGAACCAATATCGAACATTTTTTTGTTCCGAACTATTTGGCGTTTCGAAATACGTTTCGAGCTATTTGTTACAAAATGACAAGCCGTGCATTCTGAACATGTTCCTCGTTCTAAACTCTTTGTGTTCCCTTTCCACATTCTGCAACATGGGGCTTAAGCACCAGTGCGCCATTTTGAGTTGTAGGGCGCTGAACTCATTATGCATTTTGGCCGTAAGATTGCAAACTACCGCCCAGAAACTTCACTCATAAATATATTATGCGAGTCTTTAGATAAACAAAAAATCAAGAGCTCGGTTTTTTTAGGTCATTTATTGAAACGGACATTAGGCATTTATAAGGATGGAATACTTTATTATTTAATTGTCACAAAAAGCAATATTTATTTACTTTTTTATAATGAAACAAACTTGAAAATAATCGGTTGAGTGCTTTTTGGCTGGGCGATTCGAAAACTTGAAGAAATGTGCCTACATCTATCCTCTTCATCATCGAAGCGAGGACATTTGCGAAGTTTAAATATTCAGACAAGACACAATGCATTATGAAAGATCGTTTTGCTAAGTCTCAACCGCACTCTCAAATGTGCGACACAGTAGTATGTTTTACGGATGCCGTTATAAAGAGCCACCACGAATGGAATTTTTTTCCTCACAATTGTGCTTAAGACTGAAAGAGAGAGAGCGAGCGAGAGAGCGACACTGGGTGAATATTAAACCACGCGAAGGATAGAGGAAAATATATCCTTAAATATTGAAGTTCACAGTCCAGACGCAACTCCTAGGAAACCGCCGTCTTAATTATAAAACCTTTAAAGTAGCAACGAATTCGGCATGTCCGAAGACGAATTAAGAGAATATAAATAAATGGCGGAAACATAGCCTCATGATACGTAAAGTTACGAACTCTCAAGGTGGTTTAATAATTAGTTCAGCCTACATACTCTGGTAATCTTGCAACCGAACATAACTATTTAAATGTTTCCGGTGTTTACGGAAAAATACCCGACTGATTGCTTCTTTCACGATGGCATCTTGAGACCTAATGGACCCTCAAGGTTTAAAAGGAGACGGGGAAGTGCCTGCAGATGTCTTAGCACAAATCTATTCCACATTTTATGTAAAAAGAAATTATGCCTTAGGCGTAAATTTTCTGATGAAGTTCACGTGCAAATTATGGAAACTCAGCCTGTGATTTTCCTTTATTTTGTTATCAAAGCCTTGAATTCAATATTCTGTTAAAGCATTGAATCGGTATTAGTAATTTGTGTCTCTTAATGTCTCGAACCTCTGAATATTCTGGGTAGTCTGCTGTATATACTTTTTTTTATCAAAACCGACCACATCTAAAATTAGAAAAGTTATTTTCCTATTTTTTTTTTTTATGAGCAAAGATGGAGTGCGATGTTATCAGATACAGGAATTTTGCCTCAGTTCTTTTACTTCAATTTCTGTTTATTTTGCGGAATTTGTATCGGGGTTTTATGTAAGATAATGTCATTTTTTTTTCTGTTGTTTCCGTCAATATTCACCCTAAATTATATAAAAATATGACTTACCTCCGTTGACCTCGCAAGTTAAGGTCAGTGGCTCTCCCTCACGGTAGGGACCGGCAACCTTGCCGAGTTTGTTGCCGAACTTGTCTCGTATTATCGGCGAGTCCGGCGGAACTGCAGAAGATTAAAAAACAGAAACAGGGTTACACCAATTACGCAAAGCAAAGAAAAATAGCTCAGGGCATTGTTTGAGGCAGTCGCACACACTCACACCTGATGCAACTTGGTCCCGGCGTCACGAGCTGTCAGAACAAGAGCTGAATAGTAAGAATTTCTGACATCGTTAATTTGTGCCCATAATGAACGACCGTGATTGCACAAAAAACGATTCATCCAAAAACATTGGAGGGCGCTTTGTCCGGCACCGTTTGAGAATTTAGAGTAGGTCACCGTTCGAACGCTGCCTTCCAGAGTTAAATAGCCTGCGCTTTACTAGGCCGAAGGTGCCGGAGTGGGTTTAAGAAGAATGAAGTGAGTGAGTTTATTGGAACAAAACACGTAAAAAAATGGAAATGCAAAACGATAGTTCAGTCTCCCATTAGTGCGGCCATCAAGCAACACGTGAAGACAACTCCCCCACTTAACCCAGTAGGGTTTTTAGCTTTCTTTAGTAAAGTAATAATAAACATACTCGGGAAGTTTAACTTAAAATATGTCAACGTTATTCTTGTGATGACTTATTTTTCCTTTCATTTTGTTCTTTGTTATGAGGAAAACCTGTACGAAACAAACCAGTTTTTCTCCGTTCCGAGGAACGGAGAAAAACTGGCGGAGGCGCCTCCTGTTGGAGTCGTGGCACATTCAATGCACACGTGGCAACATAAACCGTTCGACGGGGACCCTTCCCAGCAGCTACGTTTCGGGGTTAAGAGGGATAATCCGGAAAACACCCGGGGGTGTTCGGGTTCGTGGGCAGGCCGTTCCGCGGGACAAAAACAGTCACCCGTGATCAAGGGACCGAGTTGGTTCCGAAACGTCGGGATTTTTGCTTTTTAATAAAGCTTGGTTAGAGTTTCTAAGTTGAAGATTTATTAATCATTCCTAACCAGACGGATGTCCGTCGAAAATGTTTACAATATATAACCTACGCATAAGCGAAAGTCTAAAATAAAATATAGCAAGTGCAGGTGTATTGGCTTGCTGCGTCTCACGCCCGAATGTTCAAAAGCGAGTCTAAGCTAGTTTCCTCAATCAAAAACAGTGCATTTCAACCGTTTTAGTGGAGGAGTGGGGTCTATGCGACTCCAACGCGTGACGGGAGTTCTCATCCGCGACAGGCGCTGCAGTCAGACCACTCTTTCTGCGTGCCACGCAACAAAACGGCGGAGGCGATCAAGCAGCAACAAACGTTCATCGTCACGTCACTCTGGGTTCGCCATCACCGTCAAAAAATACCGAGGCACCGTTATAAATACACTGTTTAAAATCAAGTCCCCGTGTCCCCACACCGGAGCTGCGCGATAGCAGAAACTGCGAATGCGGGAGGAGGGAAGCGTCTGCGCACGCGCAGTGCCCACAGCAGCGCCACCCTAGTGGCGTGACGTCAGAGAGTTGAATTGGTCGGTTGGCTTAAAGTGCTACCAGCTGCTCGATTGGATTCCCCCGCCTTTTTCAATACTAGCAGCGCGGAGGATTCGAAAGCGTCGATTGTCTGCGAGCTTCTTCGACCTCTCCTCGAATATCTTCCTCCACACAAGGAAACTCGCGCATGCGCGTGAGCAGCCAATCTGCGCAGAACCATTAAGTTCCAAACGCTCTTTTTTTTGTTCCATTTTCTGTCTCTCTTAAACCTAGTATCTTTCCTCTTCATGAGCGGGATGCTGCTTACTGCTTTTGATGCAGCGAGCGGAGGAGAACCCCGCCGCAACCACTCCACAACAGAAACACCACTCCATGCCTGCGGCTCGGACTGCCTTGAGAAAGACAGTCATTTCTTCATCGCCCAGACACTCCTTGTAAGTGTAGTTTAGTACGTATAAAAATGTGTATTTATATCTATAGATATTATAACTTGATGTGTTTGTTTTCGTTCTGCATGGATTCCTGCTTTCATTGCTCTTGCGGGGATGATAGTCCCGCTGAAACTTTTAGTGTGTTAGTTGGTGTTTAATTTTCGTTTCGCTATCCATCCTCGGAAACGTGAGTCTCTTATTGCTGTGTGATGAATGTCGGACGGTGTCCTCGAAGTGCCGTCTTCAATAATACGCGGTCTGATTCTGCGTAGAAAGAGCTCAACCGTAAGATTGTTTTGCTGACCACTTGCACGGCGTTTCTTTTCCCCATTCCCGTGGTCGCTATACGGGCTGCAGCCAGACGATGACGGTCGGAGGCTCCGGAGGGATTTCGAGCGACGGCCTCTCTGAGAGGGGGACGACACCATTGGCTCTCTGGCTGTTCGTTGGCCTCCATTCACCAACGTCGACACCTTCAACATGGGAAGTTGCTCGTTCAGAATGGCCATATTATGCACTACCTGTACGGGAATAGCTGCTGGTGAAACCAGGTGAGCACAATATGAAGAAATGTTGATTCTTTTGACAAAAAAAAGCTTGCCCTTCGCACCAATTGAAATAATAAAAACAAGATTAAATTCAAATTCTTTTCCGGAAGGGGGGGGGGGGGGGGCTACAGTTTATTAAATAAAACAGTTTTTTTTTATTCTCATCATGCGTCATCCTCAAACCTTTGCGAATTCCGATCGCTCAGTGCTTGGATGCTGTAACTCGATGCCAGTTGCCACTTCTAAATTTGTCGATATGTTTTATTGAGGTCAGCGTGCTAGCGTTCTTGTACTCTTGTTTTTAACGTCCAACTTTGTCAGGTACCTGAGGTGTACAATGGGGCACACACACCAGTTGCCCTCGACTACCGTAGTATCCCGAGAGATGCCCCTCCCCAGGAAAATAACCTACCCCTATTTTTGGCATGATTTGCTATATCTTCAGAAACACCGAAAAAAAGTCCACTTCTAGCAATCGCAAGGCCCTGACCGCTGGTGATCTGAGGAAAAAAAAGCGGTGTTACTTAACCACGGCGATAGATAAACTAATATTGCTTGCTGTAAACGACAGTCGTCTTTGGTTAATCGCCTCTTCCTGCGATCACAAGTTTGGAGGTCGAAAAACCTAAAACCAGCATTTTAAATTTTTTTTTTATGACACACGTAAAGTTAGTTTGCCCATTATTTTCACCGCATTTGCCTTTGATATTAGGTGGGATACATCTCCGTACATTACAATACATCGCGGTTGCTTGTGTCGACTGAAAATCAGTCGGTAGTTGAAAGCACAAGGCCCACTGACAGCGCAACGTTTTCGCTTGGGGCTGTCGCGTATACAGAAAAGCTTGTGCAGCAAAGGGCCGTTCCCTCTCTCCTCACTGAAACCAAGCGATGTACCCTCAAAGAAAACAAGTTAATCAGAGTGTTTAAATTACCCCGTTGACTTACTCCACAAGCTTTTCCGAATACGCGGTATTGTTAATGTCACGCGCCTCGCACCCACAACCCGCTCTCTCCTCCGCACCCTTCGTCGCACCCCTCCAACGCAGGCCACTTCAGAATAGCCGCTTGTCAGCGGCAGAGGGACAGGCGGACGAGGCGGTGCAAGCTACAGGGCCGTCTATGCAGTGATTATTCCGATCGCTCAAAGCCCCAGCTCATTAATTATTTGCCTTCCCAATCTGAACACAATAACGAACCACCAACGCTCATCTTATCTCTTAAAAAAAAAAGCGCTCTGCCTCGCTTTCTTTCGGGTCATCAGGAGGCTTCTTTTGAAATCCCAAGACCGGCTCGAGTGTTGGAGACGTGCCACCGATATCTAAATGATGATAGCTTATTTTTGTGTAGACATGGAAGGATTCCTTTGGGAGCACGCACGTGCGTGCTTCTTGATATAAAAAAAGAAATGTACTGTGAAGCGTTCCGCGCAAAGAGAAACTGGAAAAGTTTAGATACACTTCTGGAGACGATACTCCCTTACAAGGGGTTGTCCTCGGATTAATTTACAAGGAAGCACATTGAAACGGTCTGCTTATCTTGAAAATGCCATATTAAGACCTTGATTGGATTCTGTGTTGTTTCTTTTTTCAGCGATGATGGCTAGTGCCGCCTACAAAGGCGACTGAGTAAGCCGTCATCCGAAGCCATTAATTATCCAGCTGGAATTAAACCCCCTCGTCAGGGTATGGCCACTTTTAGCGCCGAGACGTTTCGGTGTCGCCCCCTTGTGGTTTCCGTTTGTGACGTCACGACAATGATTTGGCTCGCCGTGATTGGCAGGGTTTGCCTCGCCGTGAACCGGTGATTGGGCAGGCATTATCGGTACACTGGAACGTTTGGCTTGGCTAATCGCGAACTTGGATGCTCAGCGACGATTTTTGGTCGCGCACGTCGCTAATGGTCACCGGAAACCTAAGAAAAGCAGGGCGCGTCGAGTCCCGTAAATTTTGTGTTGCTCTGAAGCCAAAAAAAAATTGCAAAATTAACTGTTAAAAAAATACAGAACGCCGGAGAAACTATCAAGAAGCAAGGAGCGTGAAGATATTAGGCCACGCCGCGCCTGTGTTAGGCTGATGGTAACCTTTTAATTGCTCTCCCTTATGCGAGACGGTGTCTTTGTGTTTTATATGTTTAATCACCACGAGTCACCGACAACCTCGGAAACAAAGGCCCTGGATGATTACGTTTAGGCTCCTTCATACGTCATTTGTTCTGCGCATCGATAATGGGGAGTTTTAGGAAACCGTTTTTCACATTCGATACGGTAGGACGGGCCCTTAGGTACAAACTGCGCATATGAGCGTCTTTTTAGGGTAGCGCATGTGCAGTGTGTACCGGAGAACCCATCGTACCGTACGACATCTGCAAAAACGGTTCCCTAAAACTTTCAAATAAGAGGTATTGTGTCTTGCTTGGAACATGCTTGGAGATATTGTTTGTACGATCAGTGAGACAGGAGCGTCCTACGAAGAAGAAACACGGCCTCAGACAGTATGAAGTCTTGGGGAACAATTTTAATGCGAAAACATTAACGGTCTCATGGAGCGAGCTGGCGTCATCAGTTTGAAGCGCGAAAACGGCCCCTAGTTTCCCTCTGTTCCATTGGCTGGCG